CCAAGTTTACTTATGTTAGTTCTTTTAGTTCTCAATCCTTTCAGTGCAATTGTTCATTTGTAATACTTTTAGGTTCATTTGTTGCTGTTTGTATTTCATTTTGGGTTCTGCCCACATCATGGTTTATTTAAAGTACTCATTTATTTCATATTACTTTGAAGAGATCTTCCCTTTTCTTCTTTTCTAAAAAATATTTTATTTTTAAAATTTTAACCTATGTATGTATTTATTTATTTTGAGACTGGGTTATGAGACTGGCTGATTTTTGTATTTTTGTAGAGATGGGGTTTCACCGTGTTGCCAAGGCTGTTCTCGAACTCCTGGGCTTAAGTAATCAACCCATCTTGGCCTTCCAAAGTGCTGGGATTTCAGGCGTGAGTCACTGCATCTGGCCGAGATTGCCCTTATTCTTTTTGTACCACTGTATACTACTTATTTTGTAGACTGTGCATTGTTTATTCAATTACTGTCCCAACAATGGGCATCAAGATTGTTTCCAATATTTTACAATTATAAACTGCCGTAATGACTATGCTAGTGTAGAGCATTATTATTTTTGTAATTTAGATAAAAAACACATCTACCACCTTATTTGTGTCCATACCAGCTCCTATTCAGTTGTTTAGAAACTTCTGCATGTAAAAGTACTAATCAGTATTACTGTGTGATAGTTGTTACGCATGTTATTCTATTTTCCTAGAACATTTCAGTCACTTTCTACTCTTACCTAAAACCTAACTGGTAAATCTTAAGTGCATTGATTAATAAATCTCTGGTATTACCATAATCTACTCATAAAATCATCCTATGATATTTTTATTACCACCTCCCCCAAAGTATAATGTCCTTAAGATATGAAATTCTGCAGTAAAATGGAACAAAAAGAAAAGCTTTTCAAAAATGTTACTGAAACTTCACTTGATGTAATATGCAAAAGTGTGATGGGGCTGTTCTCAGTTTAAATGGGCACTCATGGATGCACTGTAACTTGACTGATTTGAGGACAGAAAATTGAACCTAAAATAAGGAAATTCTGACTACTAAAGGAATCGAGGTCACTCAATACATTCATTTTCTCTCTAACAAAAGGACTACACATACCACTAATGCACTTGGCATTTTGATTTATTAAATATATATGTTAACTGAAATTTGCCACCCATTTATAATCAGTATAGCTAAAATTACTCATCTGAAACCTGTGAAGGCTGAAGTAAAAAAGTAAATTTTAAAAGGCTTAAGTAAAGTCCAGTCAATCAAAACTGATTTGAGCTTACTGCTTAGGTCTACGGAACATATTACATGACTGCAACCATTAGAAGTCTCCCCAGACACACCTGACTCTTCTCCTTTTTCAGGTGCTCATGTGCTTCTGTAGTTGTCTGTTTCTTCTGTTTCAGCCTTCTGTGAGGCATCACAGAAAGGAAAGAACAAATATTTAAATTATGGAAAGTGAATGCAGTAAGAATAGGAATGACTCTAAAACAGTAGAAACAAATAAGCCTAATTATAGCATTTGAGAAACAGGGTGTGTATGTTTTCTCTGGCTGCTATAACAAATTACCACAAATACAATGGCTTAAAACAACACACTATTTGTTATCTTACTATCCTCTAGCTTAAAAGTCAGACACACGTCTCTGCAGGCTAAAATCAAGATGTCAGCAGGGCTAGGTGCCTTCCTGGAGACTTGAGGGAAGAATCCATTTCCCTATCTTTTCCAGCTTCTAAAAACTGCCTTTGGTTCATGACTTCCTTCCTCTGTCTTCAAACCCAGCAACACCGGACCTCTTTGACCATTCTCCTTCTGTCTCTCTTCTGCCTCCCTCTTCCATTCTGAGTGATTATTATACATTCGGCCCCCTCCGATAATCCAGGATAATACTCCTGTTTTAAGGTCAGCTGACTGGCAACCATAATTCCCTCTTTGCCATGTAAGCTATCGTATTTACAGGGATTATTCTGCTTATCAGGAAAATTATTTCATTTCTCTGGAACTCCTCTTTTTATTGTAGTAGAATTCTTAAAATATTTATTGAGAAGCCATAATTTCAGTTTCGAGACCCCAAAATGAAACAGTATTTATTTGTGCCTTTGGAAAGGAGCTACGTGCTTTCCTACTAATTTCTTCCTCTTTATTTCCCAGAGTTTGAATTTATACCTGTTTATTTTTAAAGTTTCTGGGTCTTAAGGTAGGTTTGTTCCAGGGAAGGATAGAGAAATATCTAAGGTCATTTATTGAGAACAGAAGAGACATTTGTAAAGAATTGAACTATAGCTGAAGTCTACCAATAATGATGAACAGACTTTTTTTTTTTTTTGAAGTAATGATTTTGTTTCATAGGGTATTCTTAAGTGAAGAGTTCATGTAGACATATTCACAGAGCCCTGTTCTGTTTTCTTGATCAGGGAACCAATATATTTTAAGAAAGTGTCTTCTGTACAGTGCCTGTATTCTGGTGATGTTTTGTAAGCTTGTTTAAAGTTGGTCACTCTTACCACATCTGGCCATTTGAGTTTTACAGAGAGTTAGAGTCACGGTCTTATCCTATTTTCCAGAAAGATTTTTTAAATTTATTTTTTATGTATTTTGGGAATACAGATGCAGATTTTTTACATGTGTATATTGTGTAGTGGTGAAATCTAGGCTTTTAGCATACCCATCACCTAAATAGTGATCATTGTACCTATTGGTAAATTCTCAACCCTCACCTCCTTCCCATCCTCCCACCTTTTGTAGTCTCCAATGGCTGTTATTGCACTCTGTATGTCCAGCTGTACCCGTTGTTTAGCTCCCACTTACAAGTGAGAGCATGTGGTATGTGACTTTATGTTTCTGAGTTATTTCACTTATAATAATAGCCTCTAGTTCCATGGTGCTGCAAAAGACATGCGCTCATTCTTTTTTTATGACTGAGTAGTATTCCATGGTGTATACGTATTTCCCACACTTCCAGAAACAGTTTTGTAGCAATACTATACCTGAAATCTCTCGGGGTAGGAATTTTTGGGTGTCACAATGATAGTGGGAGATAGGAACACTGGATTAGAAGTTACTGGGGATGAGTGTTAGTCTGGATTTATTTATTTTCACTAAATATGTTTTGGGTACCTACCAGTTAGTAATTTAAAATAAGATAATGACATTTTTTTAACCCTTCCTAAATGGAGAAGTTGTTCCATTATTCTTTTAAATCTGGAAAATGTTCATATTTAATTATTATATCCCCTCCATTGTTTCTGTGCCCCTTTTCTAGAACTTCTAATAATTGGCTGTTATATCTCTGTTGAGACTTTTTAAATTTTCTCTTTGTTTTCATTTATTTTTTAAACCTTTGTTCTTTTACCTTTTTTGGCCTTTTTTTTTTTTTTTTTTTTTTTGAGAGATTTCATAGAGTTTATTTTTGAACCAGGCAATCACTTAACCCTTTATGGAAATTTCAAATATATTCAGTTATTTTCTTTTTGTCTTTTTTTCTTTAAGTAACCATCTTACTGGGCGTTAAGTGGTATTTTATTGTGCTTTTGATTTGCTTATTCTCAAATGAGGTTGAACTTTTTTGTGTGTTTATTGTATATTTGTATATCTTCAGATAAATGTTTTTTCAAGTCCTTTGCCCATTTAACCGGGCTGTTTGTGTTTTTGTTGTTGAATTGTAAGAGTTTCTTGGTACTAGATTCTTATCAAATGTGTGAATTGCAAATATTTTCTCCCATTCTGTAGGATTCTTGATAATGTCCTTTGATATATAAGTTTTTAATTTTTATGAAGTCCAATTTTTATCTATTTTTGTTGTTGTCATTGCTTATGCTCTTAATGTCATATTGAAGAATTCATTGCCAGTCCAAAGTAAAAGTCACAAAGATTTATCCTTATGTTTTTGTTTTGTTTTGTTTTTTAAAAAAGACGGGGTTTTGCTATGTTGCCCAGGCTGGTCTTGAACTCCTGGACTCAAGCAATCTGCCTGCCTTGGCTTCCCAAACTGCTAGAATTACAGAGTGAGCCACCGCACCCGGCCTCTTTTTTTTTTTTTTTTCTGAGCGTTATATGATTTTAGTTCTTAGATTTAGGCCATTGGTCCATTTTGTGTTTTTGTATATGGTGTGAAGTAATGATCTGACTTAATTCTTTTGCCATCGGTTGACAGTTTTTTTCTTTCACCACTTTAAAAGTGCCATTTGAGACCAGGCACAGTGGCGCATGCCTGTAATCCCAGCACTTTGGGAGGCTGCGGTGGGTGGATCACCTGAGGTCAGGAGTTTGAGACCAGCTTGGCCAGCATGGCGAATCCTCATATCTACTAAAAATACAAAAATTAGCCAGGCATGGTGGCGGGCACCTGTAATTCAAGCTACTTGGGAGGCTGAGGCAGGAGAATTGCTTTAACCAGGGTGGTGGTCATTGCAATGAGTGGAGATCGCGCCACTGCACGCCAACCTGGGCAACAGAAGTGAAACTCTGTCTCTTAAATAAATAAATAAATAAATAAATAAATAAATAAATGCCGTCTGTAGCCAGGTGCCATGTCTCATGCCTATAATCTTAGTTCTTTGGGAAGCTGAGGTTGAAAATAGATTTAGAAACTTAGAAACCTTTAGAAACTTAGAGACCTATAGACTTTAAAAACTTAGAAACCTTTAGACTTTTAGACTTAGAAACTTAGAAGCTTAGAAAAGCCACACCAGGTGGCTATCTAAAAGCACCCACCCAATGACCAGGTGGCCATCTAAAGCACTCGCCCGATGTCCGTGTGGCTATCTAAAACACCCACCCAAATTCCTGGAATTCAAACAGAAGAACAAGTCCGGGAAATACCCCGCGCGGGTTCAAACCAGGTTCAAACCAACCAATTAGAGTAAGACATCTTGCTCAGGCCATAACCTGCTCCAATCATCTTGCGCCTCAAGCTTTGTGAATTTTTGTAGTTTTTGCCTTTATAAACTGTCTGTAACAAGCATTCGGGGTCCTGTGGCCAACTTCGGACATAGGACCCTAGCGCGCTAGCAATAAATCTCTCCACTGTGACTTCCGTGTCGAGTGGTCTCTCGCGACGACCCCTGCCCAGGAAGGAATCTAAAAACTAGGTTCCTACATTTGGTGCATTGGCCGGGAATGGGGGTCGCCCGAGGACCCTCGACCCCTCCGGTGGAGACACAATTGGCCCGGGCCACCGACTGCTGACGAACGGACTCTGTCAGGTACTTTCGTTTCACTCTGTGCTCTGTTTGTCTTGCCGGCTAGCTCTGAGGAGTACTCCGTCTGAATAATCAGGTGGGGAAGGCGGACAGACGTGTCCGGCACCTTCCCCCTTGCGCCCCGGGGGACGCCCTGGCGGTTGTCGGGAGGAAAGCTGACGACTCTGTTGGCCTCCTCAAATCGGTAGGCAGCTCGCCCCCTGCCGTCTGAATCTTTTGTAAACTTGTGGCGCCACTCTCGGGCCGCGCGGCTCCTCTGTGTTTGTTTGGTCACTGTGTTTATTGTTGTCATTTTGTCCTTGTGTGTGCGTGACTTTCTGGACGAAACTATGGGACAGACACTAACAACTCCTTTAGCCTTGACTTTGACCCACTTCCCTGACGTCCGGGCGCAAGCCCGCGATCTCTCCGTGGAAGTCTGTAAAGGACGATGGCAAACTCAGCCGCGTTCCCGGGGTTTGCGTGCCTCCGGCGGTAACCCGCGGGACGCCGTGGCGGCGTCCGCTATGGCGCGGAAAGGCGAGGTCGAAAAGGTTGCGCGGGGTGGGGGGGGGAAGAGAGGTCGCGCGCCCCTCCTCCCCGCCGCCGTTCCGCGCCGCCACCAACACCTCGTCTCCGCTTGCGGCGGACTGAAGACCCAGATGACACTCCCACCTGGCAGTCTTCCCTTCTCCCCTTCGCACGGTCAACCGCGCAATCCAGTACTGGCCCTTTTCTGCCTCCGACCTCTACAATTGGAAAACTCACAACCCCCCCTTTACCCAAGACCCTCAGGCCTTAACCTCATTGATAGAATCCATTCTCCTCACCCACCAGCCTACCTGGGATAATTGTCAACAGCTTTTGCAGGTCCTTCTGACCACCGAAAAAAGGCAACAAGTCCTCCTGGAGGCCCGGAAAAATGTGCCGGGGCCAAAAGGCCTTCCAACCCAGCTCCCCAACGAAATAGACAAGGGATTTCCCCTCACCCGCCCGGACTAGGATTATAAGACAGCACCAGGTAGGGAGAGTCTCCGAATCTATCGCCAGGCTGTGTTGGCGGGTCTCAAGGGGGCAAGGAAACGCCCCACCAATTTGGCCAAGGTAAGGACCATAATTCAAGGAAAGGACGAAAACCCGGCAGCCTTTATGGAAAGACTTCTGGAAGGGTTCCGAATGTATACCCCATTTGATCCAGAGGCTCTAGAACATAAGGCTACCGTGGCCATGTCGTTCATAGACAAAGCAGCACCAGATATTAAAGGAAAACTCCAAAGATTAGATGGGATCCAGACCTATGGATTACAGAAATTAGTCAGAGAGACAAAAAAAGTATATAATAAAAGAGAAACTCCCGAGGAAAGGGAAGCCAGACTAGCGAAAGAACAGGAGGAACGAGAGAATGGAAGAAATAAAAGAGAGATAAGTATTTAACAAAAATCCTGGCAGCAGTAGTAACGGAGAAAGGGCCAGGAAGAAAGGGAAAAAAACGGAGGCGGCCTAAGGTAAAAAAGACCAGTGTGCCTACCAGACATCTACTTCAGGAGCTGAGTACCTTACAACTTGCTCAGCCCCTTAATTAAAAGATGCATTCTTTTGTTTACCCCTGGCCCCTTAAAGCCAGGAACTCTTTGCCTTTGAGTAGAAAGACCCTGAGAAAGAAATCTCAGGCCAATTGACCTGGACCCGACTTCCCCAAGGGTTCAAGAACTCTCCCACTCTCTTCGATGAGGCTCTCCACTAGGACCTAACCGACTTCCGGACCCAGCATCCAGAAGTGACCTTGCTCCAGTATGTAGATGACCTCCTCCTGGCGGCCCCCACAAAGGAAGCCTGCATGCAAGGTACTAGGCATCTACTCCAGGAACTGAAAAAAAAAAAATACCGGGCATCCGCCAAGAAGGCACAAATTTGTCAGACCAAGGTAACCTACCTGGGGTACATACTGAGTGAGGGGAAAAGGTGACTCACCCCTGGGCACATAGAGACTGTGGCTCGCATTCCACTGCCCCGGAATCCCAGAGAGGTGCGTGAATTCCTGGGAACTGCTGGGTTCTGTCACTTGTGGATACCCGGTTTCGCTGAACTGGCCACCCCCCTTTATACCCTCACCAAGGGAAGCACCCCTTTTACCTGGCAGGAGGAACATCAGTTGGCTTTTGAGACTCTAAAGAAAGCACTCCTCTCTGCCCCAGCCCTTAGGTTACCGGATACCTCAAAACCTTTCACCCTCTTCTTAGATGAGAGGCAAGGAATTGCAAAAGGAGTCTTAACCCAGAAATTAAGGCCCTGGAAGAGACCGGTAGCGTATCTGTCTAAAAAGCTAGATCCTGTAGCAGCCGGTTGGCCCCCGTGTCTCCGCATCATGGCAGCCACTGCCATGTTAGTCAAAGACTCTGCTAAGTTAACCCTTAGGCAGCCATTGACTGTTATTACTCCACATGCTCTAGAGGCCATAGTGCGACAGCCCCCGGACCGGTGGATTACCAATGCACGCTTGACCCACTACCAGGCCCTCCTATTGGACACAAACCGCGTCCGGTTTGGCCCTCCGGTCACCCTGAACCCTGCAACGCTGCTGCCACCACCAGAAGACCAACTGAGCCCTCACGACTGTCGGCAGGTGTTGGCAGAAACCCACGGAACGCGGGAGGACCTCAAAGAGACAGAACTCCCAGACGCGGACCACACATGGTATACAGACGGCAGCAGCTATCTTGACTCAGGTACCCGGAGGGCGGGAGCGGCAGTGGTAGATAACCACACCACCATTTGGGCACAGTCACTGCCCCCTGGCACGTCTGCACAAAAGGCTGAGCTAATAGCACTAACAAAGGCCCTAGAGCTGTCCAAGGGGAAAAAGGCTAATATTTATACAGATAGCCGATATACTTTTGCAATGGCTCATACCCATAGAAGTATTTATAAAAAAAGAGGTCTCCTAACATCAGAGAAAAAAGAAATCAAGAACAAAGCTGAAATAATTGCCTTATTAAAAGCCCTCTTCCTCCCACGAGAAGTAGCCATAATCCACTGTCCCGGACATCAGAAAGGACAGGATCCAGTTACAGTGGGAAACAGACAGGCAGACCACGTGGCCAAGCAGGCAGCCATGACAAAAGTACTAACCTTAGCCTCAGAACCCAACAAAACCGACCAGGATAGACACACCTACACCCCAGAAGACCAGGAAGAGACAAGAGCCATAGGAGCTATAGAAAACAAGGACACCAAGAACTGGGAAAAAAAAGGGAAGACAGTCCTCCCACAAAGAGAAGCCATGGCTATGATCCAGCAGATGCACGCCTGGACACACTTAGGTAGCCGGAAGTTAAAAATGTTGATTAAAAAAAACTGACTTTCTAATTCCTAAGGCAAGTACTCTAATAGAACAGGTGACTTCTGCCTGCAAGGTCTGTCAGCAGGTGAACGCTGGGGCTACTCGAGTGCCAGCAGGAATACGAACCCGTGGCAGCCGCCCGGGGGCTTATTGGGAGGTAGACTTCACTGAAGTAAAACCTCACTATGCTGGGTATAAGTACTTACTACTGTTTGTAGATACCTTTTCAGAATGGGTAGAAGCCTACCCCACCCGGCAAGAAACAGCACACATAGTAGCCAAGAAGATTCTGAAAAAAATCTTGCCTAGATTTGGACTTCCCAAGGTAATTAGGTCAGACTACGGGCCGGCCTTCATTTCCCAGGTAAGTCAGGGTCTAGCCAGGATACTGGGAATTAATTGGAAATTGCATTGTACTTATAGACCCCAGAGCTTAGGACAGGTAGAAAGAATAAATAAAACAATAAAAGAGACCCTTACTAAATTGACCTTAGAGACTGGCTTAAAAGATTGGAGACGCCTCCTATCTCTAGCTCTTTTAAGAGCCCGGAATACGCCTAACCGCTTTGGGCTCACTCCATATAAAATCCTCTACGGAGGACCTCCCCCTTTGTCGACCCTACTTGACTCCTTTTCTCCCTCCAACTCTAAGACTGACCTGCAGGCCCGGCTAAAAGGACTACAAGCAGTACAGGCCCAAATCTGGGCCACCTTGGCAGAACTGTACTGGCCAGGACATTCGCAGACCAGCCACCCCTTCCAGGTGGGGGACTCCGTCTATGTTAGACGACACCGTTCTCAAGGACTGGAGCCTCGGTGGAAAGGACCCTACATTGTTCTCCTGACCACACCCACAGCCATAAAGGTTGACGGAATCGCCACTTGGATCCACGCATCCCACGCCAAGGCTGCTCCAGAGACGCCCGGACCACCTGAGACATGGAGACTCCGTCGCTCCGAGAACCCCCTCAAGATAAGACTCTCTCGTACCTAACCCTTTGCTTACTACTAGCCCTCCTTCCTCGCGTCGCTGACACCAAAAACCCCCACCAACCTTTTAACCTAACCTGGAGAGTAACTAATTTTAATACCCATGAAGTCCTATATGAGACTTCACAAATTGCCCCTGTGGGAACTTGGTTTCCTGACCTTTATCTCAACCTAGATAAAGTAACAGGGGTAAATAACATGGAAGAGGGAGTATAGAAAAAACAGGCTAGAAAGGTGTCCATAAGCCGGAACGGGTTCTATGCCTGCCCCGGATTCCGGACAGGAAAAATAAAACAAACTTGCGGGGATATAACTTCCCTGTATTGTGCTAGCTGGACTTGTGTAACTACTAATGATAAAAAATGGAAATGGGCCACAACACCATGGTACATATCCATGTCCTTTGTTAAGCCCTGCACCAGAACCCGGTATTCGGCTGGTTGTAATCTGGTCTGCATCAAATTCAAAAAAGCAGCGAAATCTGATGGCCGCTGGATGTCAGGGTTAATATGGGGCCTATATTTACACCAAAAGCCACTGTTTAGGATCCCCATCCAAATTAGACTAGCAGTTAGCCCTGCCTCAGCTCCTGTCTCAATAGGGCAAAACCCAGTTTTACCAGAAGCAAGGCCTCCTCAGCCGGAGGCCCCTCAGGGCCCCCGGCCGGAGGACCCTCAGGACTCCCAGGCGGAGGACCCTCAGGGCCCTCGGCCGGAGGCCCCTCAGGGCCCTCAGCCAAAGGCCCCTCAAGGCACTACCCTGCCCTTGAGTTCCCCGGGCTTAGGTGACAGGCTCCTTAATCTCATAAAGGGCTCTTACTTTGCCTTGAACCAGACCAGGCCAGAATCCACCTCCTCTTGTTGGCTGTGCCTAGCGACAGCCCCCCCTTATTATGAGGGCATTGCCTCCACTAATAATTTCACCAACTCCACTAATCCTACTGGATGTGCATGGGATCAGCATAAAAAGCTGACCCTGGCTGAAGTTTCTGGGTCAGGAATCTGTATAGAAAAGGTGCCCACTAGCCATCAGCATCTCTGTGACAAGACTCTGACAGTGCCTAGCTCCAATCACTATTTGGTCCCTTCTGGGACAGACTGGTGGGCTTGCAACACTGGACTCACTCCCTGTGTATCCACAGCAGCGTTTAACCGCAGCACAGACTACTGCGTGTTAGTACAGGTTGTTCCCCGAGTATACTATCACTCTGGAGACTCCTTTGACCTCCAGTATGAACAGAAAGCTTATAGTAGACCCAAAAAGGGAACCTGTCTCACTCACCCTCGCTGTAATGCTAGGAGTGGGGGTAGCAGCTGGGGTTGGGACCGGAACAGCAGCTTTAGTACGTGGTAGCTACCATCTACAACAACTTAGGGCAGCCATAAATGAGGACCTTAGAGCCATAGAACACTCTATTTCAAAACTTGAAGAATCTCTAACCTCTCTGTCTGAAGTTGTATTGCAAAACCGACGAGGACTAAAAATTGTCTTCTTAAAGAAAGGCGGGCTCTGTACAGCCCTCAAAGAACAATGTTGCTTTTACGCAGACCATTCAGGAGTGGTTAAAGATTCTATGGCAAAACTAAGAAAAAAATTAGACAAACGAAAAAAAAAAGAAAAAAAGTCTCAACAAAATTGGTTTAAAAGCTGGTACAGCCAGTCCCCTTAGTTCAGCACCTTAGTCTACACTATCTTAGGCCCCCTTATCCTACTCATGCTCATCCTGACTTTCGGGGCCGTGTATACTTAACCGCTTACTCGCCTTTATTAAAAATAAGTTAAACATTGTGCAGGCTATGGTCCTAACCCAACAGTACCAAGCCCTCAGGACAGAAGAGGAGGCTCAAGATTGAGCCTCTTGGTCACAAAAAGAGGAGGGAATGAAAATAGATTTAGAAACTTAGAAACCTTTAGAAACTTAGAGACCTATAGACTTTAAAAACTTAGAAACCTTTAGACTTTTAGACTTAGAAACTTAGAAGCTTAGAAAAGCCACACCAGGTGGCTATCTAAAAGCACCCACCCAATGACCAGGTGGCCATCTAAAGCACTCGCCCGATGTCCGTGTGGCTATCTAAAACACCCACCCAAATTCCTGGAATTCAAACAGAAGAACAAGTCCGGGAAATACCCCGCGCGGGTTCAAACCAGGTTCAAACCAACCAATTAGAGTAAGACATCTTGCTCAGGCCATAACCTGCTCCAATCATCTTGCGCCTCAAGCTTTGTAAATTTTTGTAGTTTTTGCCTTTATAAACTGTCTGTAACAAGCATTCGGGGTCCTGTGGCCAACTTCGGACATAGGACCCTAGCGCGCTAGCAATAAATCTCTCCACTGTAACTTCCGTGTCGAGTGGTCTCTCGCGACAACCCCTGCCCAGGAAGGAATCTAAAAACTAGGTTCCTACAAGGTGGGCAGATCGCTTGAACTGAATGAGAATGAAAATATATTTTATCAAAATTTGTACAATGTAACTAAAGCAGTGCTTAGAAGGAAATTTACAGTGATGAATACTTGCATTAGAAAAGAAGGGTCTCAAATCGATAATCAAAGCTTGTACCTTAAGAAACTAGTAAAAAATCGTATTAATTCCAAATCAAGTAGAAGGAAGCAAATAATAAGGAAAACAGAGATTAATGGAATTAAAAGCCCAAAAGTAATTGAAAAAAAGCAATGAAATTGAAAGGTGGTCTTTGAAAAGATCAATAAAATTGATAAACATTTAGCAAGACTGGCAGAAGCATAGTGAAACAAAGATTGCAGGGTTGAAGGAAAAAGGTACTGCTACAGACTCCACAGAATTAAAAATATAATGAGAGAAAACTATGAGAAACTCTTAAGCACATAAATTTTTACTACTTGAGTGGACCAATTTCTTAAAAGCACAAACTACTAAACTTCACTCAAGTTGAAATAGATAATTTGAATAGCCCTGTAACCATTAAAGAATTTACTCTGTGGAAAAAAAAATTCCAAAAAAGATCTTGTCCACATGGTTTCACTGGCCAATTTTACCAAACAATTAATGAAGAAGTAACAGTAATTCTATATAGACTTTTCCAGAAAGTGGAAGAAAATGGAAAGATATCCCCAATTTATTTTACAAATCCAGCAATAACCTCATACTAAAACCGGACAAATACATTATATGAAAAGGAAACTATAGGCCAATATCCCTCATTAAGATCGTAGTGCATGCTTGTAATTTTATGTGGCTTCAGTAGCCATTTCAAATGCAGATTTCGCTTTCTAGTGCCAGAGGCAGAGGCAGGCCATAGTCACCCTTGACACGGTTTCCATTTCTATACTACACCCAAATGACAAGCTGATGGCCAGAGGTAAGAATTGAGAGGCATGACTCCTGCCTAACAGACAGCGTTCTCTTTCCTGCAGCTTGCATTAAATGGACCATTCATTTATTATATTTGCTGATGAACTTAAAGTGACCACACCCTATTTCCCAATAATACTAGTTGCCAAACTCTCTTTTTCTCTCTACCGGTCTGTGTTCTGCATGTGGCCTCAAGGCATTCACTATACGCTTCAGGGTCTGTAAGTACTTAAAAAGTCTTAAATTTTCACATTGTATTTGTTTCATTGAAGCCTTGTCTACAATCTGACCCATAACTGCAATGCCTACCCTGAAGGGACCCATGCAAGTGAATACCCTATGAGCACTCTTTTGTCTGGGTTCCTGGTGGCTGCTGGTAATGGTAGCCCCCAGCCTGTGTTGACAGAGAAACTTGAAGAGTTTTATTCAAAATAAAGATAGTCTTAAAAGTCTTCACATAATGTCAGCATATTGAAACTAACATGTAAAAACAAAACAAAACAAAAATATAATGTCAGCAAATTGAAACCAACATGTAAAACAATGAAAAAAAAACAAAACACTATTTGCCAAATGGGCTTATACTAGGAATGCAAGGTTGAAAATCGATCAGTATAATCTATCATGTTAACAGTTTTATGGGAAAACAAATCCTAACAATTGGTGGAGAAAAGACATTTCATTTAGCAAAATATAACATCAATTAATGACCTTTGCCAAACTAATAGAAAAGAATTTGACATCTTCAAAAAACCTACAGCTAACATTATGTTAATACTTAATGAAGAAAGATTAAATGCTTTTCTCCTAAATTCGAGAACAAGACAAATATGTCCATTCTCACCACTCTTATTCAATGTAGTTCATGAAGTTCAGCCAGTGTAATAAGCCAAGAGAAAGAAAGAAAAGGGATTTTTATTTTCAGATGGCATTCTCTGCATGGAAGACTCAACATAGTTAAGATGTCAGTTCTTCCTAAATTTGTAAAGACTTAATGCAATTTTTTCATCAAAACCCTAGAAATACTTTTTTGTAGATATAGACAGGCTTATTCTAAAATTTATATAAAAAAGCAAGGGAACTAGAGTACTTACACAATTTTGAAAAATAAGAATAAAGTGGCAAGAATTACTCTACCTGATATAAAGACTTAATAGTTACAGTAATCAAGAGAGTGTGGTATTGGCAGAAGCATAGACACATAGATCAATGGAACAGAATAGAGAACCCTGAAGTAGACCTACACAGATATGCCCAAGTGAGTTTTGAAAAAAAAATTTTTTTTTTTTTTTTTTTTTTGAGACAAAGTCTCGCTCTGTCGCCCAGGCTGGAGTGCAGTGGTGCCATCTCGGCTCACTGCAAGCTCCGCCTCCTGGGTTCATGCCATTCTCCTGCCTCTGCCTTCTGAGTAGCTGGGACTATAGGCGTCCACCACCACGCCCAGACAATTTTTTGTATTTTTAGTAGAGATGGGGTTTCACTGTGTTAGCCAGGATGGTTTCAATCTCCTGACCTCATGATCCGCCCGCCTCGGCCTCCCAAAGTGCGG